TAAATAATCCATTGAGGTTGATATGCCGTAAGACAAACCAAACCAATCAAATGTTGTGATAAAAACAACAAAGTTGAGGACACTAGTCCGAGTGTCAATTATAGAAATAATGATAACTTTTCATTCCAGTAATTCACAGGGGTTTTGATTTTGAATGTCAGACTATTGTTTAGATCAAGCAGTCATTTATTAATCTCTGTGTAATCAAAAACAAATCTAGTGTCAATGACGAAACTAACCTGGCCGTGCGTCTCGAAAAGGACCTCCAATCGGTTGTGAACTGGGGCAAGAATTGGCTGGTCAACTTTAATGCCTCAAAAACAAAACTTCTCTCTATTAATCACCACAGAGATCCTTCCCTGCCCTCCATTAGAATGTCTGACGCTCAACTTCTCGAGAGCAACTCTCTGCGACTGCTTGGTCTCACGTTGACGGCTGACCTGAGATGGAACAAATACATTGAGTCAATTGCTTCGTCCACCGCAAGGAAAGTTGGCTCCTTGTGTGCCACGCCAGGAAATTTTTCTCCCCGGAATCGATCCTCCAGATCTACAAATCAACAATTCGGCCTTGCATGGAGTATTGCTGCCATATATGGTCTGGAGCCCCTTCTGTTTGCCTCGGGGTTCTTGATAAGATACAGAGACGGATATGCAATATAATTGTCCCTGTTCTGGCATCTTGTCTACAGTCACTTTCTCACAGACGCGTCGTCGCCTCCCTCTGTCTGTTTTACAAATACTTTCATGGCAACTGCTCCGAGGAGCTGCATTCGCTGGTTCCCGGACTTCATGAGTTCAAGCGCCCTACGAGGTTAGCATCCCGCTCTCACCCCTTCACTGTCGAAACTCCTAAATGTAGCCGTCTCTTCTAGCTTCATGTCTCGCACCTCTCGCCTATGGAACTCCCTTCCCTATTTCTGTTTCCCTAAGAGCTATAATCTCCAACTATTCACATGTAATGTCAATCGACATCTCCAGTTGCCTTGATCTATCCACTATCCTTCTCCTCATCCTTTCTTCTATAACTCCTATCTGATCTTGCTCCAAATCTTCTGTAACCCCTTGCGTCCTAGTGACTTCTCGCCTTGCTTGGGGTGAAACGCTTAAAAAAATGCACTAACCATAGAATGTTCTAGTTATTTGCAGACCTTTAGACAGTCTTGTTTACCTTCACTCTACGTTATTCGGTCTTTACATATTTACTAAATTTCGTTTACCTTAGCCAAAATAATTTATTACAGAGAGAATGACACTCGCTACTATTGATCGTTTAGAATGGAAGTGCGAACATCAATCTCCGACCGATATCAGCGCATTATTTAAAACGAAGAAAAGGCAAGTTACTTGAGAAGTCAAATACTGAGTCACTGCCCAACAATTGTTTACGTTATCAAATTCTTTTCAAATCAATTACATTGCCTTCCCTTTGCTTAACGAAGTCTTTTCAACTCACACATTCATTCACTGACTGAAATTATCTATCTATCTATCTATCTATCTATCTATCTATCTATCTATCTATCTATCTATCTAATTCTCTATCTATCTATCGATCTGATTCTAGGTGTATGTATCTATATATGCATTTATGTATCTTTCTGTCACATTCTGTTCATATCTATCTATCTATATATATATATATCTATATATCTATCTATCTATAGCATTTTGTTAATGTCCACGTCAGTCCGTTGAAATCTATCTATCTACGTGTGTGTGTGCGTGTGTCTTTATATATATATATATATATATATATATATATATATATATATATATATATATATATATATATGTATGTATTAGCCTCTCGAATTTTCTAATGGACTTTATATTGATATTAAATTCATTAAGGAAGTCGCCGCAGCTTATTATATTTCCTTTATTTCCCAAGTACTTTCAAGATCATCTTCAGATCAGATGAGATTAAAAGTGCTTTCGGCAAATAAAGGAAATTAAAAAAAAAGAAAACTACGCCGTCTTCCTTAATGAATTTAATATCAACAATACGACTTTGATCCGAGAATTCGAGTGGATTAAAATAAAAACAGATACACAAAATTTGTCCAGATTAAAATATGCTGCCTATATATATATATATATATATATATATATATATATATATATAAAAAATATAATCTTAAGATGTGCTATAATTATGGGTTAAAGTGCTCAATATCAGAGATAGAGCGTGTGTAAATATAAAAGCGAACATAGATGTCAACACATAGAAGCGACAGTCTGTTTTATGCTAGAGGCAAATCGTCAGGTCACGAGCATTCGTGTGCCTGACTGACGCCTAAATCTAAGTGTTGACTCAGAAAATATTCTTCACTATGTTAATGTTATTAATATTCCCAAAATGGCTTACACAGAAGAGCCTTTTAATTTTTTTTTTTTTCTGTAAATCTCATGTAGCTACAACAATATGTCGCTTTTGGTTATAATGACTTGCCTTGTTAAAGTATACAAGGACTAAGTAATATTTTCCGACTGTCAGCCTTATATATATATATATATATATATATATATATATATATATATATATATATATATATATATATACCAATATATAGCGGCTTGGATTGAGGATTCGAGAGCAGAGTTCGAATTCCAGTTCGAATTTATATTTACTTACTTGGGAAGGTGTGGATCCACTTCTTCCTCCAGCTATGGGTAAATAGCACGACAGACTGGGTTCTTGGATGACAACTGGTCTAGGAGAAGGAAAACTCTCAATTCAAAACCTGCGGAGGGTTGTCTGGGGACCTCGTGTCACGTAGTTCAACAGGTCTCTGAATTCGGCTCTTCAAAAAGTGTGGGTGGTCCTGCACGAAACCTTCACTATAATCAAAATCACATGTGCTTTTGTCAGGCTGTCGTTTTCCTAGGAACAAATCTGCTTGAACCTCATACGTCGAAATCGACAGGAGAGTCGATTATATATATATATATATATATATATATATATATATATATATATATATATATATATATATATGGAGAGAGAGAGAGAGATAAAATTAAGATATTTTTACATATTGTGCTCAATATTAAAAATATCAAAATAATATTAAAATAGTTATAATGGATAGATACAAGTGACTGTATATATATATATATATATATATATATATATATATATATATATATATATATATAGAGAGAGAGAGAGAGAGATGATATTGAAAGAAAAGATTACTTAACTGTTAATACTCAAATTTTATGCTTATTGATATTTAAAAAAAGTTAAGTAACCTTTTCTTTTAATATCAGATATTTCATATCTATCAATCTATTTATCTATCTAAATATCTATTTATTCATGATTACACATATAACATCCTCCTTTCTCTCGCTCTCAATTTCTATATATAAAGAGATATACACACACACACACACACAAATATAATTATTTATTTAAAAATATGATTCCAAATCGCTACATAAGAGGTCTCATGTTTCAAAACAAGAGCCGAAAACTTCAATATAATCCTTTAAATTAAATTGAGTTGAAAGTAAAATGGGCTCCGTTCCATCTTCAAGCGAAATTTTTGTTGTAATAACGTATATCTGAAATTTACTTGTTTTAAAATTGAAATCAAAATCCCCATGGTAACAGCTATGGTGAATTGTCTAATTTGCGTAGGCAAGTGTAGGGTGTTTATAATAAGTAGCGGTATAGAGATACTTTTCAGGGTGTCAAGTCGGAGAAAGGTCGGGGTGTCAAAAATGAAACGGAAGATGTATTGGCCATCGTCTAGTTTGCTTGTCTATGGAGATTTATTTATTTATTTTATTATGAAAGGGAATTGTGCATATAAAAAAAGAAAAACTTTCGTAACATTTGTTTTTTGACGACTTCATAAAGGGTTATCTTATATGTAAGGTATTTAAACTACTAATTCAGGCTATGGATTATGAAGTGTGTTATGTTGTATGCATGTTTGTAGTTAATTATTCCTACTATGAAACTGATGATTGGGCTATTTGTTAAACAAGTTATATAAATTTTTTTTATCTAATAATTTAAACCAAAAATCTGATGATGCCTACAAAAAACCGTTAACTCGTGTCTATTATTTAATAGATTATTATTATTTAGAAGTTTAATAATGTGCAATTTTTCATGGAGGCACAAAGGGCATGGGTCATCCCAAGCTTTACATGTTCTAGCCTTGTCAATGATTTTCCATTTAACTTTTGGTGTCCTATTTGTTTCCTTCAGGTGCCAAAAATATTTTGATAGTGAAGTCTGATTTCTTTTGTTTATATTATTAAAGGAGCACTTATGCTGCCTCCATCTATCTTTAAAATTATTCTTCGTGGACCCAATGTATATCATATTAGTGCTAGGGCTCTCTGTGGATGAAATAGTGCATTGGTATACCACAGAATTAATACAACATTTATTTTCTAATGGGCAGTCTTCTGGGTTTCTACAGTTACATATTTTTTCCCTTTTATCATCTGATTTAAGTGCAGAGTTTTTATTAATACTGTTTTGGCATGGGGGTTTGTTCAAGATCTTATTATTGTGTTTTTTTATTATGCGTTCAAGATTATCAGAGCAGCTGTAGCTCAATTTTAGGGTGTTCTTATTGAATATATTACTAAGCTTACTATTGGTGGGGAAGTGTTTATTAATTAGAGCTAAAATTTCTGTCCTAGTTTAATACTAACCCTTTGGTTGAACGGAGGGTGTACCAAATGATATTTCTTTTCCTGTTTTTTTTTTCTATGTCCAGTGTAATTTTCTGTTGTTAATGTTAGCATTTTTATAACCACTATTTTTTAGGGCAGTGTTATAGAAGCTATTGTGTTGTTGGAATATTTCCCTGTTTGCGGAGTTAATGCTAATTCTATTTTCTATTGATGAGGGTATATGTTTAATTATTGATGGAGGATGGTTTGACTTCGGGTGTATGTATAAAGGGTTAGCATTTGGTTTTCTATAAGGTTGGTATGTGTTGCCTGGTAAGTCTAGAGTTACGTCGAGGA